TGTACAAGAATGTAGTTGTATTGCCATTTGGTTAAAAGCTTCAAAAACTGCTTGGAGCACTCTTAAATGATTGTTTACGTTCGGTTAAACTGTTTGACAGGAGCTTCTATAGGATGTGGAATAAACGCATCAAAACAAACCATTGGGAGCTCTTATACAACACCTGAGTTGATCAAACGTTGAATAATAGCTTCCAGAGTTGTACAAGAATGTAGTTGTATTGCCATTTGATTAAAAGCTTCAAAAACTGCTTGGAGCACTCTTAAATGATTGTTTACGTTCGGTTAAACTGTTTGACAGGAGCTTCTATAGGATGTGGAATAAACGCATCAAAACAAACCATTGGGAGCTCTTATACAACACCTGAGTTGATCAAACGTTGAATAATAGCTTCCAGAGTTGTACAAGAATGTAGTTGTATTGCCATTTGGTTAAAAGCTTCAAAAACTGCTTGGAGCACTCTTAAATGATTGTTTACGTTCGGTTAAACTGTTTGACAGGAGCTTCTATAGGATGTGGAATAAACGCATCAAAACAAACCATTGGGAGCTCTTATACAACACCTGAGTTGATCAAACGTTGAATAATAGCTTCCAGAGTTGTACAAGAATGTAGTTGTATTGCCATTTGGTTAAAAGCTTCAAAAACTGCTTGGAGCACTCTTAAATGATTGTTTACGTTCGGTTAAACTGTTTGACAGGAGCTTCTATAGGATGTGGAATAAACGCATCAAAACAAACCATTGGGAGCTCTTATACAACACCTGAGTTGATCAAACGTTGAATAATAGCTTCCAGAGTTGTACAAGAATGTAGTTGTATTGCCATTTGGTTAAAAGCTTCAAAAACTGCAAGGAGCACTCTTAAATGATTGTTTACGTTCGGTTAAACTGTTTGACAGGAGCCATATAGGATGTGTAATAAACGCATCAAAACAAACCATTGGGAGCTCTTATACAACACCTGAGTTGATCAAACGTTGAATAATAGCTTCCAGAGTTGTACAAGAATGTAGTTGTATTGCCATTTGGTTAAAAGCTTCAAAAACTGCTTGGAGCACTCTTAAATGATTGTTTACGTTCGGTTAAACTGTTTGACAGGAGCTTCTATAGGATGTGGAATAAACGCATCAAAACAAACCATTGGGAGCTCTTATACAACACCTGAGTTGATCAAACGTTGAATAATAGCTTCCAGAGTTGTACAAGAATGTAGTTGTATTGCCATTTGGTTAAAAGCTTCAAAAACTGCTTGGAGCACTCTTAAATGATTGTTTACGTTCGGTTAAACTGTTTGACAGGAGCTTCTATAGGATGTGGAATAAACGCATCAAAACAAACCATTGGGAGCTCTTATACAACACCTGAGTTGATCAAACGTTGAATAATAGCTTCCAGAGTTGTACAAGAATGTAGTTGTATTGCCATTTGATTAAAAGCTTCAAAAACTGCTTGGAGCACTCTTAAATGATTGTTTACGTTCGGTTAAACTGTTTGACAGGAGCTTCTATAGGATGTGGAATAAACGCATCAAAACAAACCATTGGGAGCTCTTATACAACACCTGAGTTGATCAAACGTTGAATAATAGCTTCCAGAGTTGTACAAGAATGTAGTTGTATTGCCATTTGATTAAAAGCTTCAAAAACTGCTTGGAGCACTCTTAAATGATTGTTTACGTTCGGTTAAACTGTTTGACAGGAGCCATAAAGGATGTGGAATAAACGCATCAAAACAAACCATTGGGAGCTCTTATACAACACCTGAGTTGATCAAACGTTGAATAATAGCTTCCAGAGTTGTACAAGAATGTAGTTGTATTGCCATTTGGTTAAAAGCTTCAAAAACTGCTTGGAGCACTCTTAAATGATTGTTTACGTTCGGTTAAACTGTTTGACAGGAGCCATAAAGGATGTGGAATAAACGCATCAAAACAAACCATTGGGAGCTCTTATACAACACCTGAGTTGATCAAACGTTGAATAATAGCTTCCAGAGTTGTACAAGAATGTAGTTGTATTGCCTTTTTGGTTAAACGCTTCAAAAGCTGCTTGGAGCACTCTTAAATGATTGTTTACGTTTGGTTTAATTATATGCTTTATAAGACCTACGATAACTTTTATAGCACCTTAGTTAAACCGATTGACAAGAGCTATATAGAACGTGGAATAAACGCATCAAAACAAACTATTGGGAGCTCTTATACAACACCTGAGTTGATCAAACGTTGAATAATAGCTTCCAGAGTTGAACAAGAATGTAGTTGTATTGCCATTTGCTTAAAAGCTTCAAAAGCTGCTTGGAGCACTCTTAAATGATTGTTTACGTTCGACCAACCACCAACCACAATTTTGTTGCTAAAAATAGCACAAGTGATAGGCACGTTTATATGACCATAAGGCAATGATTATTCGACTGCAAGAGAAGTCACTCAAGATGAGCTTCATATACTTCTCTCATATGATCAAAATATGTATTCAAGAATAGAGCAGATGGAAACAGAAGCGGCTGGCAATCCGGGATCATGAGTTCGAATCTTGCTTCGAGAAACCCTCGGTGGAGTAGAGGTAAATTATATATATAGGTGTTTATTAATAAATGCAAACATTAATTTAAGACATATATCATATAATCAACGATAACATTTCTAGATAAATTCTCTCAATTAATTATTAGGGAGATTAATCGAAAGAATATCAATCAAAGATTAAACCGATGCTAGTTACTACTTCCTCCATGATCACAGAATGTGTATTATGGCATTATTACATATTTTTTCAATGTGCACAAATAAATTAAATTAATAAAAACTGTACAAGCAATTATTTTGGCGTACCACGACAATTGTTAAATTAATTTTAATCTGTGAATATTGTGAGTACTTACACAACGGTTATTAAGGAGTCATTAAAAAGTGCTATAAACGCTTTTCACCCCTTGCTGTACAATGATTATTTAGGAGTCATAAAAGAGTGCAACAAATGCTTAATCGAATTTACATTGAAAAGTGCTGTAAACGCTTTTCACCGCTTGCTGTACAATGATTATTTAGGAGTCATAAAAGAGTGCAACAAACGCCTCTCAGGTTTACTCTCTACTAAATTTCAAAGCAGCTGTCAAGAAGTGTCTACAAACGTTGTATAAGAGCTTTCACCAAAATAATAAAGTTTGAGTTTAAATATGTATCTATAAACGTTGTATAAAAGTTGCTTCTACTCCTATACAGCGTAGACATATAATGCTGTAGTTGAACAGGTTCTCCAAACCAGTGTAAACAAGAGTTTTACAGAAGTTGTAATAAACAAATTGTACAGTTATTATTCAGCATGCAGTTGAATAAAATCACAATGGAAGCGTTTCTTCAACAAGAAATTGATTTTGGGCAAACGTTTTACTGAATACGTTAGACAACACCTTTGTGTTGCAGTTGTATAGGTTCTCCAAACGAGTGTAAACAAGGGTTTTATAAAAGTTGTGGTGAACACATTGTGCAATTATTATTCAACATGCAGCTGAACAAAATCAAAACGAAAGCGTTTCTTCAACTGGAAATTGTTACTTGGGTGGTCCTTCACCGGGCTTCGCGAGCGATGCTTCCCCATTTCGGGGCACACACACACGCACGACAAATCACGTACGAAAGAGCGCGAACACTATCACCAAAAATATCTTTCCGAACAACTCACGAGAGCGAGCTTAAACCGAACAAACTGCTTGCCGTTCAAGCAGAGAATGATTTTGACCCCACAGGAACATGGATTTTCTTTCGGCATCAAAATACTGCAAAGAACTCATAATTATTGAAACATTGGTAGTACAGCTTTTTATTTACTGCTCACGTGTTTATGGTTTCAGTGGTTATCGCTACAATAACACGCTTTACACAGTAGGTGTTTCTGTTTCTAATATATTCATTCGCTCATTCGTGGTCCTTACTAAAGAATTCACTTCTTTTCGGTACCTACACGCATCATTGTACAGACTCGTTCGTTCGTTACCTTAGGTTTAGTTTTGACAACGAAGGCAGATGCGACACGGAAGAAAACATGGAAAACGAGCACCTTAACCATTAGTCAACGTAAACCAATCGCACATTTTACCTATAATAGATAGTACTCTACTCACGTTGTCGCTGGAATTAAACTGCCTTGAGTACAAACAACATGTGGACAGTCTCCCTGGTTGCCTGCTGATGCATAATGCTGCATGTATGTGAGGGGGCTACCCCTTTTGCCAGAAAGTGATTTGGAATAAAGTCGTTTGGCATAAAGATCATTTGGCATAAAACAATCGAAACGTTTAAATTTTAATGCGGTTCAGTAAGGCATGCTTGGAAACATGGTAAAATAGGAAGTGTTGGAAATTTAGGCCCCTATTAATGGATATCACTTCACGGTGAAGGGATTCCCGGGCAAATCAAATAGGAATCACTTCACCGTGACTGACAAGTTGTCACTTCACGCCGTGTTCACCGTGAAGCGATAGCCGTAACAATCGCCTTAGTTACATAATTAAAAATAATCGATCTTCGTTTCATTGGTTGCACGATATAACTTACGAGGAGCAGTGAGAAAGCGCGAATAATTACTGCAACAATAATAATCGAAAGAACAGCTCATATTTGAATGAAGGGAAAATCTCTATGTAAAGTATGCCAGTAGGGCAGAAGTGCGTAGTATTATTTATTTTGCATCTGGAAGAGATTTTGATATAGTTATGCAAAACGTCCATTATGCCAATTTATTTTATACCAAACTGATTTAAGCCAAACGGCGTTCCCCCGTATGTGTGTGTGGTTGTTTTTTTTTGTGAGTAAAACCTGAGCCGTTGTATGTAGTTCTGTTCTATTTTTTACACATGTGTGTGGAAATGAACTTCTCTATGGTCTACGTATTACAATACCTTACAAACTAGACTTGAATTCGAACAAAACAAAACGAATAACGCTTACCGCGCCTTCCAGCAAACTTCCTAACGCGCTGTGTGCTATGTCTTTTGGAAATTATGGAAAATGTAAGTGTAGAGCTACGAAAGTTCCTTACAAAACAATGGACACGTACGAGCTATGCTTATCTATCGTATTTGAGGTAGAAACTCTTCGTGGTTCGCTTTTTCTGTTTATTGTAAGGTGACGACAACGACGCATCCATCGAAATGCCGTAACTTTCGCGTTGGTGTAGAAGCGGAGTTGAAAGTTGAAAAATGATAAGATTCTTAGCGGAGGTACTACGCTTACGATAATCACACCAGAATCGAAACCCAGGGCCGAAGAGGACAACTTTTGATTCCGTCTCTACCCGTTTTATGGTAAATTGCTGCAGTGACAGTTGCTACAGCAAAGAACGTCGTAAAACCTACTAACAGTGCAAAATAATTAGCTTGTTGTTCTCTTCCTCTTCATGCCACAGTTGTGTCTTGCTAGGGAGATTCCAGTGTGGATTAACGTTGCGATTTAACTGTATTTATTGTAATTGTAACTGTATGTTGTTGAGGTATGAAAGAAAGTATAAGATTAAGTAAAAGAAAAAGGAAAGTAAACATCTATATCCCGTAATGAAGTTGCTGCTATTCGCCTGTATAAAGGTACTCAGTATTCTAGTTTGTCTTGAAGGCGACGAGCTCCAGGACGGACCCAATCCGTTGGTATTCGTCGTGTTAAAAATTAAACGTAGCAAACGGTTCCACCTGTAGCCGTACAAAACAATGTTAGTTTGTGGAGTTCAAAATCTTCCTCAAAATGATATTATCTAAAAGAACATGCATTCATTAAGTATTTTACTCAACTTGTTCTAAAACGTCATCGAGTGACCGACCGAAGAAATAAATTACAGTTTAAAACACTCCTCCCTTGGCCCAGAGTGTTTGTGTGTGCAAAATTCAATACCTAGCGATACCGTCGATCGTAGTCCCTATCTCGGTCACGATTACGTTCCCGATCTCGGGAACGAGACCGTTTTTCGCGTCGATGTTCCCGACCGCCACGATCGGGATCCCGATCCCGATCTCTCCTATCCCTATCGCGATCTCTATCCTTATCCCGATTTCGATCCCTTTCCGGTTCTCTGTCTCTTCCACGTCGAAGGTCATCATCCCGTTCGAATCTCGAAGCTGATCGAACCGGTTCCCGATCGCGATCGCAATGCCCAGTATACTTTACACGGCTCGGTTCACCGTAGTCTTCTCGTGTGCTCGTACCCGACCGTTCGTAACGCTGAGCGCCTGTTTTACTGTAGCGATCGGTTGCCGGTTCGGAAAAAGTGACGTTGTTTTCCCGAGCGAACTGCTCTAGTTTAGATTCGTTCTGCTTTTGGATTGGTACGGGAATTCGCGGAAACAAGGTGGAAAACCAATCCAATTTGGTTAGCCACTGGCGAATCATCTGGCCGATTGTCATAGTCTGAAATTGGCAGGAATCGCATGAAATTGAGATTTGCCAAATGCCAAATTCAAAACAGTGCTAAGTACCTACCTGGCCACCTCCAGCTTTCACGTCAATTTCTTCTTCGTCAAGAAGGTACGACTCGTACCAATCGTACAAGTCCCCTGGAGGTTGAGTAAATCTCAGATACATAAAACCTGCAGGAAAATCCATACTCAAATCCATTTTTCAAAAACTATCATTCGAATCCACTTACCTAATGCTCTAATATACGGTGAATCACCATGGGTGAGAAGGCCGTTGACTTGCTTCCTCGTCAAACGTAGAGTGTACAGCTTGTAGAGTAGACAAAATGCGGTAGAAACGATACCACCTGCGCCGACTCCTCGCACCTATCGGAGGAAAGAAAGCAACCATTCAAGTAAACTACTCCAAGTTACTGTCGAACAACGTGACATACCCCACCGCACATGCCCGTTTGACCGGACGTCTTGCGGGACCCTCGTTCCCATGGTTCCAAATGTTTGACCTGGTAGTAGATTTCATCCACAACTTCATGGTAAGTCTTCAGTTTGAACAAGGACACTGCGGGGAGAAAGCGTGAGAACGGAATGCCAATTTTAGACTGTTTCTAGCGATGCCTCCCTCTGAATCGTACGTACAAACCTACCTTTGAAGTAACTGGACCCCTGAATGTTGGCCAGGATCAGAGGGTTTAGGTTCATTGTACTTTCGTTTCCCCATAGTGGCAAAGCGTTGTTCTGCTTTGTAGACTTCTTCGGTGGGTGCGTTTGTTGTTGCTGCTGTTGTGGCTGGTCCTCTGCAGGGAAAGACGAAATTTTAGAAAATGCCAATGAAATAGGTATGTAGGTATGTAAATATTTCTGATCATGAAATTCACAATATATGGTTGGTTGTTTGGTTATCTTCGTCGTTATCTTAGTCGCGTCAATCACGTCTATACACAAAGCTGGTAGCATCCACAATGTTGAAAATTATCGGGCAATTTCAATCCTAAGTTGTCTCCCGAAAGCGCTGGATAAGATGGTATATTTATGATATGATAAAACGTTCAACAACGACCAACTTAATGGTGCTCGTCAATTCGCTGATCAACTCTATAGAAAAACGACGGCAAGTTGATGTTTGCCCAGTTTCGTGATACCCTGGGACGTTCCCCAAGATAGCCATTTGGGCCCTTTAATTTTTATCTTATTTGTAAACTGTCTGTGCACTCGACTGTGTTCTTCTAAACTTAACTTTGCCGATGACTTAAAGATTTTCCGGACAATTAAGTCAAAACTTGAATGTTGCGCCCTCGAGCAGGATATTGATTCCCTTTTGCGCTGGTGTACATTGAATGGCTGACATGCCTTCTCACTTCAAGTTTTCTAGAGCACAAATCTTGGACACTGTCGCGACATCACTCATGAAACTGGAACTCCTAGTCTGCTTCACTACATCGTCAAGTCAAGTCCTTGTTGTATGTTTTGTGAGAGCTGATATTTGTGAACTTGGAATTTCGAGGTGATAATGAGATTGATAAGAAGAGCTGGGATAGACACCAGTGGCACGATCTTCAGGAAGTTCATCCAGCTTTTTGGCTTGGCCGATGACATCGACATCATGGCACGTGTAGTATCTACCCTGTTCAGAGTAATTAATGATTTAGAGTGTAATCAATCAAGATACAAAAAGAGACTCGAGATGAGAGTCCAGAATAAAGAGCTAGGCTAGTCTAGCATGAGCCGTTGGAAGAGACGGAGTTGAATCCAATCTACATCGTTAAGCTTTTACTTAAGATAAGAAGAAAGATTGATTAACACTAGTTAATCCTTAATAATTAAACAAAACACATAGTAGTGATCAGTTACCGTTCATAACAGTGGCGACGACGGAAAATTGGTAAAAAGTTATAGTGAAAAGTACAGGTAGCTCAAACGGAAGGTACTTCCAGTGTGAGTCAGCGTAAGTACTTGTATAGAGTTTCCTTGAGCCTAGCAATTCAAGCGACTTGTAAATCGGCAGACGGGTTTTACTTGATAATTGTTTTGATAACAGAAGCAATTAGAAAGCCTGTTGAGTCATTTAAAAGGCGAAATTCGCTACGAATATATATATATATTAACATTGAGAAATAGTTGGATTTATCAGATAATCATAGCGTGGTTGTAACACCATTTTGTTTTTCATTTCTTTTATTTCACAGATTGTAGTCAGAACAACGCGCTTTGTTCTCACGATCTTCTCTGCATCGCGCTCGGTGTACCAAGTCAAAAAAAAAAAAATACTTCCGTACGAGCGGCAAGAACTGCTCAAAATATCAAGAAGAACGTGAGAGTTGCTGTTGCTGCTGCTGTTGTTGTTGTTTTGTGTGTTGCTAGTGCTTTCGTGAGTTTGCTGCTATTTTGCTACCATCCGAGAGAAAGTGAGTGAAGCAGGCATAGGTGAGAGAAACTGGTGCGGTCTTACGAAGTGAGAACTTTTGGAGTGAAAATCTTATAGCGAATTCGTTTATTATCGGGGTTAACACCAGTTCCAACCCAGTGCGAAACCGAACTTTTTGTCAGTGTGAACCTCAACCTGAGCTAGGTTTTAAAAACAGACGAGCAAACTGACATTTGTCAGAAAACAAGCAGACCCAATCTTGATACCCGATCCAGGTTGGAACTGAATAATAAACGAATTCGCTATTACCATAGAGGTAACTCTAAGACCACTGGGTCCCGAAGAAAATCATTATTATTTTTGGCTCACTCAGTACCAGAACAACGGTCCCAAGCAGTCCCAAGCTATTTCACTCACCTCTGCATGTTCTGCATGAATCCACACACCCCTGATGTTATCTGTCAAACTTTCATAGCGAATCAAAACAAACATAGTGTAGTAATAGAATTTCAACTAGAATAGGGTACGTTAATCGTTTGCTTGGGACCAATAGGCTACTAAAGTGGTGAGCTAATTTAAAATCGTTAGTTTCGTATTGATTGTTGCTATTACTCACTACTCACATTTCAACCTGCCGGTTGTGAGAAGCACATCGCAGCAACCGGTGATTGACTACAGCACTAACAGCAGTGATTCTAATTAGAAATTGAACAGAGCATTTGGATTGTCGTGAGCCTGGTGTTGGAGCGTTGATTTAATTTTAACAGAAGTAGACGACCGTCGTCGTTGGAGCTTCAGTCGCACGTTTGAGGAAAGAGGTACATGCTGGAAGCGACAATCGTTTTGGAGACGAATAAAATATCGTGACTTCGTGGCTTACTACTCGATTCTGATCGGTAAGCACAAGACGAACGCGCACAGACAACAGTTGAAGGCTGCTTACGAATCCAAGCGAAACAGAGCTGTGGTACGCCTTCCAGCCATTACAACGAACAAGCGTAAGAGGGATTCGATCGAAGACGAAGAAGATTTCCACGGATTCTCGGACCTCACGAGACCAGAAGACATCCACGAGAGCAAGAAGGTCAGACGAGCTACAAGTCCCATCTGCACGCGGTCGAGAACTGTGCAACTCAGCTAGGCAAGACAAGGTTGAGGCTGCATCTTCAACGAGTTGAATTCGATGTGTTAAAATGAATTGGATTATTGAATTGTTCGTGTTTACTTACAACACAGTTAAGCAAGAACATGCTGGAGCTGCATCATCAACGGGATTGAATTCGAAGTGTTTTGAATTATTGAATTCTTCGTGTTTATTTATGTGGAAATTTAGACTGTTTGTTTTTTCTTAAGAAGGGAGAACTGTAGTATCTACCCTGTTCAGAGTAATTAATGATTTAGAGTGTAATCAATCAAGATACAAAAAGAGACTCGAGATGAGAGTCCAGAATAAAGAGCTAGGCTAGTCTAGCATGAGCCGTTGGAAGAGACGGAGTTGAATCCAATCTACATCGTTAAGCTTTTATTTAAGATAAGAAGAAAGATTGATTAACACTAGTTAATCCTTAATAATTAAACAAAACACATAGTAGTGATCAGTTACCGTTCATAACAGCACGGAACTTTGAAACTGGCGGAAACGTCAGACTGAAGGCTGAAGCAAGGCGGATTGGACTTGCCATCAACGCATCGAAGACAAAATACATGAAAGGAAGAGGTTCTAGGGATAGGGAAGACAATGTTAGCCTCCCACCCCGAGTACAGATTGACGGTGACGAGGAGTTCGTGTATTTGGGCTCTCTGGTGACCGCCGAAAATGATACCAGCAGAGAAATTCAAAGACGCATTAAGACAGGGAATCGTGCCTACTTTGGACTCCGGAGGACGCACAGCGATTCACCTCAATGTCACAAAATGCTATGCCATATCTTTCAACCGTTTACGCGAGGATTTTGTGCTGCCGGGTATTTAATGACACTTCTCGCGTCCCTTTTTAAATAGTTCAATCTACTTTGATCGATTCTCTTCATCGACTCCCTGTTTCGTAAATAACTCGGCTACAAAAACGTTTTCTGTCATCATTGTCGTATTAGATGCTAGATTGTTGCTTCTTCCATCTAACTGTGTGTCGAACATATCCGGAAATATCTGAACCAGGATGATCGAAGCTGTTCGTCGTGGAGCCAAGCTGTTATTTTTTACCTAAGTGACGAACCAGCCACTGGCTGAAAGTCACTCTAATAAAAAAAAAATGCCTAAATAGGTACACCGCCATTTCATGGTCCATCCGTGTAGAGAGCTTCATCAACGGCCTTGGCAAATTCGTCCCGGTGTACTGCCGGTATCGGTATTTATCCTCTCGGGTTTCAACCACCACGGGGAGTGCGTGTTGCTTGTTGTTCATAGATATTTAAAAAAAATGTTTCAATGGTTTCATCTTTGATGAGAATGGGAGTTGACTGTGCTGTGTTGTTTCGTTTTGAACAGTTGAAATCATCTAGATGGTGGCTTTCGATGACAGTTGCTTCACCGGGCACATGGCCGTTCCGGTGGAACTGGCAGCGACGGTCGCTTAAAACGTCAGCGACGACTGGTTGGTGAGAGTAGCAACATCGATGAACACAACCGCATCGGAAATCGCTGTTGGCACCACTTTTTGAATCCATCCACCTGCTGACACCACTGAGGCAGCCAATCTTAGCAATACGGAACATTTTCATCGTATTTGTACAGGATTTGACCACTTCGAACCGTACTCCCACTTATCCCGGTCCGTTGTCACGTAGCAATCGTCTCCGCAGCCGATTTGGAGCTTCTCCCGTGCCTGATAGATGACCAGCTTCACGCTTTCACGTCAAATTCGTACCAAACATTTTTTGCTTCCCAAAATGCAACGACGGGTGATTCGAAACGATAGTGTGAGCTCGTTGCAGCGATTGAAACATCAGCAGAAGGTTGCTGCAGTGGCTATAAATTTTGAATGCCATCAGATGCGTTTAGATGTTGTCTTTGTTGAGCCGTCTGAGGAACTTGATCGTCATCTTCCGGTCGGGCCAGTTTGTCCGGTCTTAGCATGTCTTACTGGAGTGCCTCTGGATCATCGTCTCTTGGTTCGGATTCCACTGCTAGTTGTGTTGTTGTGTGTGTGTGTATTCAATCTAACCCCCACTGGCCGGCAGTGGTATTATGGAAGAAATTTGCTTACAACAATCCTTGATGTTATAATTTGAAGCAAGTTTAATCCGGGAGTTAGAAAGCGATAGCTCTACTGCAGATTCAGCAACCCATTTCAGAATGCCTGGTAATTCACGTCCATTCCGAAGTTACTTTCACATACAATAAGCCCCGCATGTAAACACTACCGTTATCATATGAATAATGGTACTGTTAACACACTTATAGATTTCAAAATGTGATGTTTCGAAATCTGGCGCGTATTTAGTAATATATGGAAATATGCATTTATGATTGATTATAAATCAGATGGATCTCACCAAATTCTGCCTCCAAAAAAGGACCGGTTTGTTTACTCGCGGTAATCGAAAAAATCTTCCGCGTTGTTTTTACAACCCAACACGACATTTTGAATCACATTCAAAGTTTTTCATTTGCACCGAATTTTTGCTTGACACCTCATTCGCGTGCATCCTCCGGAAGGCAGAACGCCAGCACCAAGAAAAGAAAAAAAAAAACCGGTAAAACTCTTCTTGGGAGGGAGGCAAAGCACCAAAAACAAACGAAATGAAAAACCAACCGACGCGACACCACAGCAACACAGCTTCTCGAAACAAATTCTTGTCCCAGATTTTTCACGTTAATTACAATATCACTAAAAAAACTTCTTAAGACGTGATAGATCTTAATTTACACTTATCCACACGCGAAAACTAATATTTGTTTGATTTGGTACAATTAAAAAAATATGCGAAAAACAGATGAAATCTGCGCCAGCGAAAACAAAACCAACCGTTCCACTGCTAGTTGTGTTGTTGCTTATAAACAACACATTTGAACTGTCAAATAACCGAGGTGCCAAACATTACATAATTCACAAGCAAACAATGTCAGTCCGATGACTGGCACTCTTGGCACTGCCGGCACAGCTACCGCACACTGACAAAAAAGCTAACGCTAAATGAGTGTGTAGTGTGGTCACTCCTTGATTCTATGAACTTCACCGAACTACCGGAAAACCATAACATTTGATAACGGTCAGTAATTCGATCGTGTTTTATTATTTCTAACCAACCGTAATACACAACGTAGGGAAGTTCAGCCCGTGCGCGATCAATACGTTTTCAGGTTTTTTGACAGTTAGCCCAAAGATGAATACTAAGATGAAACTGTCGGAAGAAAAACTTTCTATTTTAGTGTCTTCTTTCACGATCCAATGAGAACCCCCCGTATTCAAGGTAATTTTGTGGTTTTGTTGCCCCCTCGGAAGAGATGAAATTTTGCGCTCATTTTTATCAAAACAATCACACCAAAATCAGAGGTGTCCCATTTTTTAATTACTCGATTAACAACTAATCGATTATTTTTTGTTCGCTGTGCTACCATTTTTCCACGAATGAACCGGGGACCAACGGCTTTACTTCCCATCCGAAGGAAGGCGTGATCAGATATGTTATGCCTCAGAACATCCCGGCGGCGCCGACTGGGATTGAACCCTGGCCTGCTGGGGTGAGAGGTAATCACGCTTACCACTACACTACTGGCGCCGTTTGACTTGGATATAACAAAATGTAAAATCTAATTTTTATACTTTAGGAAAATTTTGCTCCTTTTAAACATGAGTAGTTCTTTGGAGTTTAAATGAAATGGGCTCCGCGAAATGGGTCATTCCACAAAATGTACTTCCGCGAACTGTCGTACAGTCGGATCATCGAGGTAACTGAAAAGTTACTTATAACTAATAACTGATCTGTTACGAGTGTGCCAAGAGGCAACAGAAAGTGAAATTATTTAGAAATTACAGATGATTAAGGACAATATAACCAAAGTTTTTTATAAAAAAAAGATACTTTTAAGTGACCAAGTTACTAAAACTTGACCTGCTACCAGCCCTGAATAATCTATTCTAAAGGCGTATGCCCCTACAACCCACCTAATTATGCCATCACAGTTTCAATGATGACCTAATTAGCCAAGACAGTTTTGTACCTGTTCAATAAATACGTTCCACGTACGAATGTTAGAGCTCCGTCTGGAGCTCTACTCTTATTGACCAAACCGGCAATTACTCACCGTCATAGTACTCGGACTCCATGGCTGCTTCCCGGCAGGCAAGACACAACTTCCCGTGTACGAGGGGTGACCCTCCTCGGTTACCCTATGCTGCTGCTGCTGCTTGGAGGAACGATTCGCACACCGCCGCTACGAAACTGGAAACTCGTTTGCCCATACAGCCGACCTGCGAATCAGCCGGAAAACACTTTCCCCAACAAGCACCGGGTTTGCACCAACAAAAGAAATCAGAACCGAACGGAATTTGGATTGAATTTTGAGGGAAAATTAGAAAAAAATTACCGCGATGCCAAACAACCCAGACGATTAGAAGAGTTTTCCCCTTTTAGCTGATGATGATGCACCCGTACCGCGCACCGCGCCGTTCTCGTGAAAGTCAACAAATTGAGCTGTCATTTCGAAGTTTTGCTTGACATTTCGGTTGAATTTACGAGAAGTGCCACCTGGGATGGATGCAGGGCCATATCAAAACGAACATTTAAAAAGGTCCTATCTGATTATTTAGATCGATTATTTCAGGCGTACACTCAAAGATAAATTAAATCAAAAAAGCTTAAAAAGTATGCAGATTCCCGCTTCACCTTATTGAGTCCGAACCATGATTACTTCGGCAGTAGTCATGCATGATTAAATTTGAAATAATCTTCCCAGTATTAAATTTTATTCTTTTTCAATACTGTTATATGATCAAAAAGATTAAAATTCAATCAAAAAATATTAAAATAGAATCAAAATGATTAAAATTTATTCTAAAAAAGATAATCTACAATCTAATCAACCATGATTAAACTGTGATTAATTTCAGATGCTTAATTTTTAGAAAGAGAGGATTAATTTTTAATCATTCGATATGATTAAACTGAGTTTAATGTCAAATTGATTAGATTTCAAGCAAAATGGGAATAGTTCAATTTATCAGTGTACACAGAAAAAAAAAGTTGTTGAATATTACCAACAATCAATACGAAACTAACGATTTTAAATTGGCTCACCACTTTAGTAGCCTATTGGTCCCAAGCAAACGATTAACGTACCCTATTCTAGTTGAAATTCTATTACTACACTATGTTTGTTTTGATTCGCTATGAAAATTTGACAGATAACATCAGGGGTGTGTGGATTCATGCAGAACATGCAGGGGTGAGTGAAATAGCTTGGGACTGCTTGGGACCGTTGTTCTGGTACTGAGTGAGCCAAAAATAATAATGATTTTCTTCGGGACCCAGTGGTCTTAGAGTTACCTCTATGGTAGTAGTGGTGTTGCCATGTGGTACACTGAAAAATTGCAATAGCAGGTTAGTCATAAAAGTATTCGAGCCGCTCCGTCTGTCACTTCCCTAATAAAAAATAACCATAAACGAACGATAACCCAAATCATTGAACTATTCCACAAATGGTTTGGATGATACCCAGAACACGTCGTTAAGCAAATTAACCATACAATTTTTATTAGGGTTCGTTTGTGCTATTGGTCCCAAGCAAACGATTAACGTACCCCATTCTAGTCGAAATTCTAGTACTACGCAATGTTTGTTTTGATTCGCTATGAAAGTTTGACAGATAAAATGAGGGGTTATTGGTTTTACCTATGTTTCGAGGGGTGATTCGACAAGCTTGGGACCGAAGATAGTACCAGAGGTGAGCCAAAAAGTTGAGCACGTTATTTCGGGACCTTCTAGTCTTACACAGCAAAAAAAAAATGTAATATCGATCAACATAATTCAAGCTGATGTATGAAATAATGATGTAATAGCAAAAAGCAGATACAATATTACATCAATGGATGTAATTTTGTTCGCAAAATCGATGTACATCGTACAATGTGATATAACACAACCGATGGATTGACCTGGTTGCAGCAGTATCGATGTAATATTCAACAACTTTTTTTGCTGTGTAGAGTTACCTCTATGGTTGTACATTCATGCAATTTTCAAGAAATCTTGAAAAATGATTAATTTTTAAATTTAACAGATGCGTAGAAATATATCTGATCTATTGGTGATAAAATTTTCGAAATTGGTCCAGAGGGGCAGCCGAGGGGGCAGCTGAGTTATTAACGTTCAAAATCTTTCATAATTTTGATGTTCCATTTTCGGTTTTCACAAAGTGTACCCCCATATAGAAATCACAAACGTAGTCCTACGTCAAAAAACGTTCTACAATATACTGGCATCATTACTCAACTCCGTCAATCACTAGGCACAAATATTCGAAGGGCTTTCAAAGAGTGAGAAGCTCGATTGTCAAGTCCCATCCCGGGTTCAACACTGTCGGTCTTTTAATCAGTCGAAATCTAGTACTTCAGTAGTAATGAAAATTCCACCACATGGACATCTGTCAACCTCCTCCCGTCACCGTCGTCTCCGTCGCTGCAAAAAGGAAGAAGAGAAGTGCACAACCGCAGCTGGAAGAGGACGGAACGCGACGGATTCATCAAAAGGTGAAAAAGTAACCTGAAGAAGTAAAGTTGTGTCCGCAAAGTGAAGAAAAGTGGTAGTTTTTCCGCGATTTACAGGGAGCAGCAAGTGATTACGACGGCAGAATGCCCTCCCTGGCTGGCTGCTTCGTTGTGAAGTGTGCCGTGCGTGCGGTTTCGCGGGTGGAAGTGTAATCTGGTTCGATTGGAAAATTTTCGTTTCATGGTGGTGATTTAATGGCCGTGTTCGATGATAGCAGTAGCACCAGCAGCAGCAACAATATTATTAGCAAGGTGAAAAGCAGCAATGGTAACAGCGTTGTCGGCAGCACCAGCAGTAACAGCACCACCACAATTAACACAGGAGCAACAGCCAAAGAGGCGAAAATTCCCAGCCTGTCTCTGTACGACGGGGCCGCCAATCTACCGACACAAATGTCGGCCGACACGGACGATACGGATGACGAGCAGCAGCTGGTCCTCGATCCGTACTCGCAACTCGAGGAGGACCTGCGGAACATCAAGTCCGTGATTCACGTTACCCGGGAAAACATCGATGCGCTCAATGCCAAGTTTGCCGACTTCCAGCAACCGCCGACCCTATATCTGGAGGAGTACCAGGAGCTGACCTCGAAGCTGCACGACCTCGAAACCAAGGAGCAGGAGCTAATGGAGCGGAAAAGTCAAATGCAGGCGCAGGCACTGGCACAGGCCCAAAGCGAACGGGAATCGACGAGTGAACCGAGCGAACCACCCGACCCGGAGGAACGCGTGGAGGTCAGTACCTACATGTCATGGGAGGTTGTTGGGTCGGATGAAAGTGCGGCAGAATGTTTCTCTATTTTTGCCCCTTCATTTTTCCCCCGTGCCGTCGGAGGTTGGTGATTGATTTTTTGTTCTTTCGCTTTTCGGTCGCACCAGGGTTGCCAGTATTGTGGGTGGTGTGGTGATGGATGATGTTTTTTTTAATTTATACACTCAAAAAATTCCACACGTTTGATTGAAGTGTTTAAACACTTGATTTTTTAAATGCACAATCACATTTACTTTTAGTTCGATGGTTCAATGTTACAAACACGTTAATTTATAGTGTTTCAAACTTTGAAATGTTGAAAATCTTTCACTATCTATTCAAGTGTATTGCACATTGAATCACACTACTGTTGGATGATGGATGAACAGATGGATTTAAAGTGTTTTGCATTTCAATGCGATGTGAATTGCTTGCTCCGAAAGGTACACCCCAACAGTCCATAAACGAATCCCAAATCAGACCCATTAAAAAGATATGTGAAAGCTCTGGCCTCTGGAAGTTTTGTTTATATATTTGTCGATTCATTTTTAAAGTCGGTAAAGTAGAAGTCGATAAAGTAGAATATTGTAGAATATCACCATATGAGGCACATAGAATCCAAGTGTGTCACAATTCAAATCCATAGTGTTCTGGCATCCCTAATAAAAAATAACCATAAACGAACGACAACCCAAATAATAGAACTATTCCACAAATGGTTTGGATGATACCCGGAACACGTCGTTAAGCAAAATAACCATATCAATTTTATTAGGGATGGTTCATAGCATAAGATTCACAACTGAAATGGATGTGTTTCACAATAGGCGCAAAATTAAGTGTGAGACACATGATGATGATGTGTGAAATATTTTTTAGTGTATAAGTGTGTACACGGTAACCGCATAATACTCAATAAAATATAATCGCAATTAAATGGTGCTCATTTGGAATGTGTTAACCTGGTACCCCTACACGAAAAGAAAAATTCATATTGAATGTATTAAGCAAACAACATAGATTTTCGCAATGGTTATATTCCCATAAAGCTTAAAAGTAATACATATGAAGTGAATAAGTCATGTCAAAATAATTTCATAACATAGACTTATACAATTCATGTACAATCAAGCATACTCTTTATTAGACGTCAAATATTTCTCATTGAATCGGTTCATTAATATTATATTATAAAGAATATTAATGTTATGGGTCTCGGTCTCACAAATAGTATTAATATTGATTATTCATGATTATTCATGATAATATAGAATCACCAACAAGATCACCAGGCTATTTGCCATATATATTATTATATATAACCAGTGTATTTACCAACATAATTTTAATTATTTCCTCCCCTCCTCCTCCGATGTAGACGGTGGTACGTACGAACTTGCGACTGTGACGCTAACAGTTTGACAGTTCATTACTGGGTGTCCAGCAAACCGTTTATGTTAGCTGTATTTTTCGGTAAAAAATATTGTTTGCTGTCTTTCAGTAAAGCATTGCTCTGCTGATCATGATACAGCAATCCGTTTTACTGAAATCTAAATCTCAAATTTGGTGTGTAGGAGCTTGGGGTGGTCGTAGGGTTCCTAAAAGTTAGCGGAGATCCACGGTAGATTTTTATCGCTGTCAGTTTTTCGAAAGTTGTAAAAAGTGGCGTCACCCGAAAAGCAACGTCACGAATTGATTTTGCACAAGCACCTGGAAAATCCTCAACTCTCTCATCGGGACATCGGAAAACAACTCGGAATCGTGCAGTCGTGTGATTAAACGTTACTACGAAACTCTGAGCATCGAACGGAAGGAGACATGCGGTCATAATGGATGCTCTATTAGTGATCAGGATCACAAGCGTGTCGTGAAAGCGTTTAAGCGGAATCCCAATGCTTTGGTCAGGGATGTGGCCAAAAACTCGAATCTTTCCAAGTTTTTCGTACAGAGAGCCAACGACCGGGAGGGACTGCCTAGGTAAAAAGTGCAGAAGGCTCCAAATCGTGGGCAAAATATGGTGGGAAAGTCACGGCCCCGGAAACTGTACATCAAGATGCTGACGAAGCCTCATTGTCTCATCATGGATGATGAGACTTACGTCAAGGCGGACTTTCGGCAGCTTCCGGGGCTACTGTTCTTCACCGCCCAGCAGAAGCAGAAACTTTCAAAGTTTGCCAAGAAATACATGATTTGACAAGCGATCTGCTCATGTGACAAACGGAGTGCGCCGTTCGTGACTGTAAACACCTCTAGAAGTGTCTACATATTCGTCTGCTCCCTCTGTTGAAGCAACACGAGGGCCCTACGATCTTCTGGTCGGATCTAGCTTCGTGCCACTATTCAAATGTTGTCCTGGAGTGGTACAAAGCCAACGGGGTCACTTTCGTACCTAAGGACATGAACCTCTCCAACGCACCGGAACTAAGGCCCATCGAAAAATACTGGGCTATTATGAAGCAGGTACTACGGAAGCATCCCAAGGAGCTCTAATCTGAGGAAGACATGAAGAAAAAGTGGGTTTCCGTACAGAAGAAGCTGCAGCCAGAGGTTGTATGGAACCTAATGGATTTAAGCGTAAGGTGCGAGGGTACGGTCAACAATTGGGGGGTCCATGTTGTTCGCGTAGCTTCTGGGACTCCGTTCCACCGAGGCGGGGATGCTGCAGATTGAACAGACCTTGAGGAAAGGTGTCCCACCGAAATTACAGGAAATCCTCGCATGGCCAGTCCGGAGTCTTGAGATGATCCGCTTGTCCTTGTACTTTTGGCTGTCCGGCCAGGAGCGTACGGTTCCCTTGATCTTCCTCAGGAAAGTGGTCCGCGACTGGAACCATTCCTACTGCCAGGCTTCCATAATGGTATTCACAATCCAACGCCTGACGTCTAGGAGGAGTACGTTCCTGGTGTAGCGGGGACGGGATGCGCCAGATCCTGCCAGTCTGTCCGCAGCCTCGTTTCCGGGAACACCGCATTGTCCGGGGATCCACGTAAAGACGGTTGAAGGTGGGGCGTACCGTGTAATGGCTTGTATCCAGGGGTGGCTCGGGGCTTCGGGTTCCAGCGCTTGGATGACGCTATGTGAGTCAGTTAATACGAGGATCGGTTGATCTGCCGGAGTGATGGCTGCGTCTAGAATAGCTGCGGCTTCAGCGGAAAAGACGGAACACTCCTCTGGCAGACTTTGACTCGTTGCAATGTTCGGTCCTGCCACTCCGAGTCCAACTCCAGTCCGCGACCGCGATCCGTCCGTAAAACGATGAACGTGCCCCGGATAAACCGACCCGAGAAGCTTTGCAACAGAACGTCTCAAAGCTACAGAGTTATCTCCGGCTTGCAATCCACTCTTAATCCGCTTATCTATTTCGACGACGTTTGATCGCCAACTCTTCTATCTATGCCACTGGACTCTGGCCACCAGGGGGAGGTCACGGTTAGCTGCAGTGCGGAGGGCTCTGTTCCCCTCGTTGAAAAGAAAGACCCTTTCATTCCCGGATGTCTTAGCAGCGAGGGCAGCGGCTTCCGTTGCAATGGCTGCAGCGGCGTCTGCAGGCGTGGAAGGGAGAAGGTCGGATACGATGCGTACGTAGGTATTGTATACCGGAGCGAGGGTGTGGTTGAGCTTCTCGGTGGCTAAGCAGGTTATTTCGAGGCCATAGAAAAGTCGACTGTCGATAACAGCCCGAGCGACACGAAGGCGGATCTCACGGTTGCTGGAGCGATGCGGGCGGGAGATTGTCCTGACTATGTTGATGCGGCTACGACAGTTTTCTTTCATCATCCTGAAGTGCTGGTTGAAGCTTAGGGTGCGATCCAGTGCGATGAGTATGTCGTCGGCATAAACGATTACGTGTACGTTCTTGGGCAATCGGCTGAATACCCCGTTCATTGCCACCAGGAATAGCGTTACCGCTATGATGGACCCATGGGGCACTCCAGTTTCTTTGGGGAACAGATACGAGCGAGTGTTCCCGACGGTCACCTGGAAGGTATGATCAAGGAGGAAATTCCGTACAAAATGTGTGATGTGACCTTCCAGGCCACAGCCGATGAGCTGCCTGATGACACCAGGTGTCCATGTCCTGTTGAACGCCTTTCAAATATCAAGGGAGACTAACTCCGCATGGTGACCGTTGTCCTGGGCTTCCTTAAGTACATTCCCGAGGGCTGCAAAGTAAGGGGAGGAGCCGTGTTCTTGCCGGAACGCATGCTGCTGTTCGTCAAGGAGGCCTTTTGACTCCAGGAACTGCTTAAGACGACGATTTACCATTCTCTCCATCACTTTTGCCGCGCAACAAGTAAGCGCAATCGGCTTCTTCACTCGCCGTGTTGTTCTTCGGAATGGGCACAACCAAGCTTTGTTTCCAGAGGTCCGGATACGAGTCAGTGAGTCATAGATCGTTGAAGAGGGCGAGTAGCCTCGTTTTTCCGTCGAGGGAGAGGTTTTTTAATACCGGGTATCCAATCTCGTCCGGCCCGGCAGATTTACCACTACTGCTGCCGAGGGCAAATTGGAGCTCCCGGAATGTAAGAGCTTCGTTGATCTGGAGAGCAGGAACATCGGGTGGAATTCGCAAGTCGCTGTCGTAGCCACTGACAGCAGACAGGCCGGCAAAATATTTTTCTAATTCGTCGGCGATGTCCTTCGGTTCTGAGATCGAGGTGCCATTAGCTTGAATAGTAGGTGGAGTAGACCGCCGCTTGCCACTCAGAGCGTTGACGCGATTCCACAATTCACTCGTCGATTGGGATTCGTCGATTGAATCCAAGAAATCCATCCAGCTAGATCGCTTTGCGTCAAGGATCACCTGTCTGCACGAGAGATGGCGTTCTCGGTAAAACTTCAGCGCTTCCTCCCTCCCAGGGTCGTCTAAGGCGAGACGCTTAAGCCGGCGTAAAGCTTTGCGTCGCGCTTTCACCGCACATTTGGTATTCTCGTTCTACCAACGTAGGGTTTTTCGCCCGGGTACGCTACCCGTCCTTGGGATAGATACTGTTGCAGCTTCGTAGAGTACTTCCGTGAAACTCGAGATGTCGTTCGGATCGCGTTGCTGAAGGAGAGCGTCAGATTTCTCCCCGAAGGCGTCCCAGTTGGCTTCCTCGTCGTTGGAGGGGCCGCGCCTACGGAAAGCTGTATACGGATCGGGTAATGGTCACTACCATGCAGGTCGTTACTGATCCACTGTGTCCTGTTCGCGATAGATCGACTGGCAGTGGCAATGTCGATCGTGGTGGTGTGCCGTCCATTAAAAAAGGTGGGAGCGTCGTCGTTCAGCACCACCAGGTCCTCACTCTCGAAGATGTTCGCCAGAGTAGAACCTCTGCTGCCCCAGTCCGGATGGTGCGCATTGAAGTCGCTGACGATGAGCCGCGGTTCCGGAAGCTTGGAAATAGCGCATTTAAGTCTCCATCTAAGCTGGCTATCCGTCCGCAGGGCAGGTACGCACAGCCGATAGCTAAGTTAGCGGCGTTCTTGAGGCGAACGCCAACGATTTGTAGGTCGATTTAGAGGTCAAGAACTTGGTGTGGAATGCTCATAAGCACCCCGATGGCTACGGAGTGCCTGAAGTTACCGCAACGCTTGTAGCACCAATCGTATCTCCCTCCCAGCGAACGATTGAGTTGGTCGGTTGTAACTTTATTGACCTCTTGTAGAGCGATTATCCAGGGGGCTTCGCTTTGGGAAAGGAGCTCCAATTCCCCTAGGCGGCCAAGGAATCCGTTTATATTCCACTGGAGAACAACGTTCACCGGCTTGGGCAGTGCAGGCATGGAGTACGAGATGGTAGACTCACTGCATGTCGAGTAGGGCCTAGCCCCGCTGAGGAGAGGTGTAGGCATTCCATCCACGGTGTCGTAGATGCTAGGTACGTTCGTGCGACTGGTGGCGTTGATTTCGTCGGCCGAGACCGTGTCCGTCAGGGCTTCGCCAAGGATAAGTGGAGGCGTTCCATCCAACAAATGCGAAGATGGCACATCGGGAAGAACCACCGGTAGGCTCGAGCAGCAGACCGAATGAAAAATTGTCCCACCCGCAGGCAGGCGGAAAAATTCCACCCATCCAAGGCAGGGGTAATCCAGTGGGAGAATGGATGTTTTGGCAGGTTTGCGGATAGGCGATCTCGTTGGCGGAAATATTGGCTGGTTGTGAGCAGGTGACCCTGTCTGGCTCCGGTTCGATGGCTAAGGTATGTGTCGATTGGGACCAAGCCCCACCAAGAAGAGGTGGAGGTTTTTCATCTTCGGTGTCGTATACGCTAGATACGTTCAAACGACTGGTGTCGTTGCTTTCGTAGACCGTGGGATCCGTAGTTGACGGCTCGTTGCGTGCAGAATAAGACAGAGCTCCACCAAGGGCAGGCGGAGTCGCTCCGCCCACCCAGGGCAGGGATGTCCCAACGGCGGAAGAATCGGTGTGTGCTTTTTGCGTGCAGGTGGTATAGATCGGCTCCAATACAGCGTTCGAGATCGGTGTTGCATGGGACAGGGCCCCACCCGGGACAGGTGGAGGCGTTACACCCATAGGCAATGCTATTTAGTTCCGACGCGTTGCTCGGCGGCTTGCATCCCTCGAAGTCCTTCGGGGAATGGGCGTAACATCCCTTTTCCTCAGGGGAATAGGTGTTGCCGCCTTTGTCCGTCCCTCTTCCAGTTTCACCCCGGTGCCGGGGGGTTACCGTCAGTTCCGGTGTGGGAAAGGCGTCACTGGGTTCTTCTTGTGGTTTTTCGTCAACGAGCCACGGGGTGGTCCAGCAGTTCCGGTGTGGGAATAACGTCCGCACTGCAGGTGCCCCGTGAACTCGATGCACAGTGGTCTTCGTTCGATCTCTTCGGGTGCGGAGGGGTGTTCGAAGCTTCTGGTGGAGTTTTGGCTTCCAGTTCGACAGTGCCTCGGCTGCCCGGGACAGAAGTCAAACCTGTTTGGTAGATTGCGGTGATTCTGGTGTTGGAGTGGCCATTAGAAGTGTCCAGTGTCAGGCGGTGGTCGATGGCCGTTGAACGAAAGCAGCAACTTCCGTTCAGACGGTAACAAGTGGCTCCGGGGATAACCGAAGGGACTTCGGTATCTTGAGAGGCTGGGTTATGCGGGGTGGCCGTTTCGGGGGACTGAGGACATAGTTCGGCTGCTTGGAGGACTTCGGTGTGTTGATGTCCGGTAGCGGCGTATCGACTCTGGTGTTTGGGTTCGGGCTAAGGTCTGGAGACATAGTTGCGTCGCTGGCGTTCTCCGGTGAGATGGAGACATCGCTGCTGCTGTCACTACTTCACCCGAATTATTGGGGTTTCTGGGTTTGACTGGCGTGGCGTGGCGTGTAAAGGGCCTTAGAAAGTTTGTTTACAAATGCTTTTGTGCCGTTATCAAATGTTATGCCTGAATATTGTCTTGCCAGCTTTGTTGCAATATACATGGTTGAGGACAAAGCTTGATCGGAATCGAGAAAAGACATAACAACAAAATTCCCATTAACACACGTTTATCATCTTCGGCGCTACTTCGTAAAGCAGCTTTCCAAAAATTTGATCGTTTCCTTCTACCAGCCCGAGTGAGCTATATTGCAAAGGCTGTTTTCATGACAAAACATGTAGCGAGACCGGAAGAGGTTTATATCCTTATTGCTTTCTATTAACATAGCGTTATCGTTCGGTTTGTTGATCGCTTATCATTTTGTAATTTTGAGATGTTTTTCATTCCGTGCACAAATTTGGTTTTTTGGCTCTCTGGTGACTGGTAGGAACGCGGGTAAAAATGTATGGGAACTGAATAACAACGTCCATGAATGATTTCTTCAAGATCTGGTATTGCATCTCAAAGGTATATTCAAACACGAGACCGAGAATATTTTCACCAGCCTTCTAAAATGTAACTATCAACCTTCTCCATCTTACAGGTCGACAGCATGTGCGGCACGTTGAGCCGTCAGTCAAAGATGTTGCTGCGGGCTCATCTGCCTAATCAGCAGCGAACCTCGGTTCAGGTTATTCCCGGTATGCGGTTGAAGGATGCGCTCGCCAAGGCTCTCAAGCGTCGTAATCTCACCTGTGACATCTGCGAAGTGACATCGGCCAACAGCGACTACCCGATTCCGTGGGATACCGACGTGTGCTCGTTGCACTGTGAGGAGGTGTTTGTTCGCATCCTGGACATCGGCTTTCCCACGTACATTTCGCATCAGTTCATCCGGAAGACGTTCTTCTCGCTGGCTTTCTGCGAATGCTGTCGGCGGTTGCTGTTCACTGGATTCTACTGCAATCAGTGCAACTACCGGTTCCATCAGAGGTGCGTGGATAAGGTGCCACTGGTGTGCAGCAAGCGACATATGGATAACACCTTCTACCACCATCTGCTGGCCAATCCGGAGAGCACGGTCGGAATCATCAATCCGGGCACGGGCGGCTACAACACTAGTCTGCGACATCCCCGCTCACTCAATCAACAGGACCGGTCCAACTCGGCGCCGAATGTGTGCATCAACAGCGTGATGAAGCCCCTGTTCGGCGGCGCAGACAACCGGACGTTGATCAACTGTAGGCCGCTCCAGGTAGTTGTAGATAACTCCTTTTGTGGAACTGTGCTGTTTCCCCCCCAAGCGTTCAAAGTTCTAATACTGGGATTTTCTTCTCCATCCGTAGATCCAATCCAACCAGGAACACTCACATTCCACTCAAGCATCACCAACGAACACGTTGAAGCATAGCAAACGACCGAGGGCAAAATCGGCCGATGAAAGCAATAAGAATCTGCTCTCGCCGCGGGACTCCAAGCAGTCGGAGGAGAATTGGGTAAGTTTTCTGGTGGGTTTTACGTTCAAAAGCGACGATGTTCAGCATTTTCCCTTCTTCTTTCGAACCAGAACATCCAAGCGGAGGAGATCCTTATCGGCCAGCGTATCGGATCCGGATCGTTCGGGACGGTCTACAAGGCGCACTGGCACGGGCCGGTTGCCGTCAAGACGTTGAACGTGAAGACGCCCAGCTCGGCGCAACTGCAGGCGTTCAAGAACGAGGTCGCCATGCTGAAGAAAACTCGTCACTGTAATATACTGTTATTCATGGGTTGTGTAAGTAAACCATCGCTAGCGATCGTTACTCAGTGGTGCGAGGGCAGCAGTCTGTACAAGCACATTCACGTCAATGAGACAAAGTTCAAATTGAACACGCTAATCGACATCGCTCGACAGGCGGCCCAAGGCATGGACTATTTGCATGCGAAGAATATCATTCATCGGGATCTCAAATCGAACAATATCTTCTTGCATGATGACTTTTCGGTCAAGATTGGCGATTTCGGTCTGGCCACGGCGAAGGTCCGGTGGTCCGGTTCGCAGCAATCCAATCAACCGACCGGCAGTATCCTCTGGATGGCTCCGGAAGTTATCCGAATGAAGGATCAAAATCCATACTCCTTCCAGAGCGATGTATACGCGTTCGGAATCGTCCTGTATGAAATGCTGACCGAACAGCTACCCTACAGCCACATCAACAACAAGGATCAAATCCTGTTCATGGTTGGTTGTGGTAAGTTGCGCCCGGATCCGACCAAAGTTCGCACCGACTGTCCGCAGGCACTAAAACGCTGCGTGGACGATTGCATTAAATACAACCGGGAGGAACGTCCCCTCTTCAGGTTACTTTTGAACATGCTCGAAAACATGCTCCGAACGTTGCCGAAGTTCCATCGCAGCGCGAGTGAACCCAACTTTACCCAGACGCAGCTTCAGAACGAGGACATTCTCTATCTTTGCTCGAGTCCGAAAACGCCAGTTAATTTCCACAACTTTCAATTCTACAACGGCACCGGTAACATCTAGCGCATTCGCTCGGTACTGGCGCCCGTGGTCATCACAATTTAGGCGTCTCGTGAATGACGCTTGGATACTTTGGAACTTTGAATTCAGTTCTTGTGTGGCAGCAGTTATATAATTACATACAATTAGGACAGTTCAAGGCGCTAACGCTGTCTATCTCCTAGACTGGTGTAAATAACTACGGTTTCTCTTCTGAGGAGAGAACAATAGTACGAGGCATATGTTACAAGATATAGATTACACAAAAAAAAGCGCTTTCCGGAGGGTCCGGGAAATGTATCATCACTGTGGTTTCGTTTATGAGCTGGTGAAATTTCGCAATATTTGAGTTGATATTGTTTTCCTTTTGAGTATCCAGGTTAGTTCTGTTTTTGTTTTGTTTTTGTAAATATGATTTAAGTGATAGGGAGCTAGGACTAACTTGTGTACAAGGAACCTATCGACGATTTCACTAGGTTTAGTTTATACTTTATTTTTATTTACAACAAAAAAAGAGTTAGCAGCAGCTGTATGTTTTGTGTTTCCTCAAGAAGTTTTGTAAAAGTATGTCTAGGTGAAATGTGTGAAATTTACAAAATTACTCGAGGTCAGATGAATACTTTTCCCTAAACGAATTCCTAATATTGGTGCCATCGAAAAAGTAAGTGTATTAGTAAGCTTTCTGACTGAGCAAGAACCAAGTGACGATGATTGATTGGTCCATTTTAAACATTAACTGCTATGGACCAGAGTTGAAGAGTAGAAAACTTACTCAAAGTGAAGCTTGCAACACTGATGTCGATCAATTGGCATTTTTATTTTATTTTGGCAACCTTTGTTTTTGTTTACATCTCGGATGACTTCACCTGGGTTGTGAAAGTTTTATCTAGTTTCGATATCAATACTTCACCCGCCACAGAGTCTGCCTACTATGCTCGATTATAGTCGCTATATTTATAGTCTGGCGGCTAGAATCTCGGGAACCAATCGAGCATATCACGACCAACATCAGAAAAGAGCATATAAGCTTTTGTGAACAAAACTTCGGAATCCCTTATCAAGTAATTCAAGGGTTACCTATGCAAACCAACACCACTATCGGTCCCCTATCCAATACCATTAATTTGCGTTCGGTTGGCGAATTAAGAACTATTAAAGTTTATAAAAGTTGAACGTACCTTTTCAATTGTTAGTCTACAATATATTTAATTGGTTCCGCTCTTTGGTGGATCCAAATTCTATCCGCCAGACTATAAATATAGCGACTATATGCTCGATAGGTAGACGATTTGCCAGTTCGATAGGTAGATTTTGATTTCAGTCTGCGTAACTCTTCTATTATCAACTCTGCTATGGACGAGTGCACCGATGAATCTGAGTTCTTGCACTGACGAAAATTTGACAGGAGAGCGGGGTATTTGTTACTAAAAATGAACACTAAATGTTCATCATTAATGAATAATTCCCCGCTCTCCTGTTAAATTTCCATCAGTACATGAACGAAAATCCATCGCTTACTGCTCCAGTCGTCTATTAGGAGTATTTGGGCGGATTTATTTTAGAGAGGGTCTAGGCGAGGGTCAATCCCAGCCGAGGTCGGTGGGATTTTTCTGAGGCATATAAATCTCTGGTCACGTTTTTCTTCGGAAGGGAAGTAAAGCCGTTGGTCCCGGCCCATGTGTGTTGAATTGGTGCGATATCCTACGCAGATGTGGAAGCTGCCTTCCTGCACATTCGATTGCCGTCAATGGATGGCAATCGATGTCCGTCGGTGATTGGCACAAGATTGCGGAATAGAGACTGGCGTTAAATAAAGGAAAGAAGAAAAAGAGAGGATCTAGTATTATCAGCTCACGGATTTTTTTTTTCATTTCGTTTATTTGGCAGGCAAATGTTATAAAAATAACTTAGCGGAGCCGAGTAACATGGAATACCAATTTTGGTACTCCGAATACAAAAAAAAAAAATATATAAAAATGTATTTATCATATGATTTTTTAGGGTGTCGATCGAAGCGGCGACAAAGCGATCTTTTCCCGTGCACGCAACTTCTTTCTTTCCCGAATTTGTTCCTCATTTTCATTGAACCCGAATCGTGATCGCTGCTGCTGCTTCTGAACGTCGTTTCCCGTTGCATGCTCTCCGCTACTCTCGTCGGTCGTCGGGGTCGTCACGTCCATTTCGTTATTTTCAATCAACATCTCCAACCCCGTGTCCGTTTCCTGGTCGCTAATGACTAACCCCCCCTATTCTGCGAGTCACGTGACTCTCTCTCACCGGTGAGGTGACAATTGTCACCTCACCGGTGACAGAGAGTCACGTGACTCGCAGAATAAGGGGGAACGACCCACCTTCCACCACTACACCAGCATACGTACTGCTGTTGTTTTGTTTTCCTTCTCCGGTTCCTTCCGAGCCTTCCGCTTGGGGCAGGAAAGCTTCCGGTGTCCGTCCGCCTTGCGCCTTGCACAGAAAACATTTATCTTTGTTGCCATCATAAAAAATATTTCCTTTGCGATTGAAGAAATCTCGCGTCACTTTTCAAATAGACCAATGTAACAAATGTAAACAAATCGAGTTAAGCGATACAAACTATTGCTCTTCTGTCATTGTATGTGATACAAAAACATCCATCCAAATTTATTTTCATTTGTTTAAGATAATCATTCATCAAAAATTGTCCAATGTACAGTTTGAAATGATGGGTACATGATTGTTACTTCGGAATGCCTAACATGATTGGTGCTCATTTTCCAAAGGCGGGGCCAATCTAAAGTTAGGTACTATACTTTGAAATCTGTGAAAGGGAATCTAGTATCATGTAGACAAAACGTCCAATGTAACACTCATTGATTATGTCATTGAGTAAAATCGTCCAATGTAACATGTCCAATGTACAACTCGACTTGTCAAAACGTCCTATGTGATTTTTTCTATGTTGTAGCATGAAATTCAAAGTAAAATTGTAAAATGTTTCTTCTGAATTTTCAACGTTTTTATACACTGACTACATTAAAAATAGTATTGCAAAATGTATTGTTTTTAAACAGTTAAAATCGAGGAGGGCGACACATCTAAATCTCAATTCTAGATGCTCAAAAAATCTCACACTAGCGAATCAATCTTCGAAAAATCATCTTTCATTTCTCACATCTACTTGCATCGTGCTTCATCTTTTTGCAGGAAATCTTCAAAATCGACATAAATCTTCCTTCTATCTACTCAGCGTGCGTGCAGCTAGCCACAGCAAAACATAATCTTTTCTGCATCGTAGATAGAGTCGTCCCCTGGGTTAAAATAATAATCTGTCGAACTTCAACTTCGATTTTCTCAAAATGGTTGATATGTTACATTGGTCTATTTGAAAAGTGACGCGAGAAATGTAATGATGTGGGGATTTCCTTTTTCACATCCATATATATACTGCGTATTCCTGTATATACCTCAAAACACAGATCAGTTGGAAATTTCTCCCGGATGATGCGTTTAATTTTCCCATATTTCCCCAGCACTTTGTCCATCTCGTTGTCGGGTACCCCTGGTGGCAAGTCATATTGAATGAATTCACCAGCATGCGACATGTGTACCTTTGCCGTCGTTCTATTCGCATAATGGAAGATTAAATCCTCCGAATTGTATGTCAGAGCATGGAGCATCGCTTCCTCTGATTTAAACTTCATGAAGACTCCCCTTTCCTCACCAATGCGATAAACAGCTTCCATTTCAGCCGGATCCGTGTCGAGTGCTTTGTTGAAATTTACTATCAGGGGAAACATGTCAGGAGGGTATAACTCGAAACGTAAACAATGACTTTGATCGTCGATTACTCTTGAATGACCACACACCCACGAAATCTGACTACACCAGCTCGTAGAACAAACATTTATCTGTCAGATGATTTAGTTAGTTTGAGTGGGTGTGGTGTGATTCGTAAGAAACCGACGATCCAAGTCATTGTTTACGTTTTGAGTTCGAGCCTTCTGACATGTTTCCCCTGATCTCTCCGATGTTTGGTTTGGCATCACAATGGCTGAAGCTAAACTTGATGGAGTTTTTTACTTCACACATCTTGCGCCGTAGCAACAAAAGGCACCGAATTGCTTGCAACGAACAAAGAGCAACTATATATAATAGCGAGTCTCGAAAACAGGCTATCGCGTGGTTCACACCGAAATAAAAAATTGACTGCTGCTTTAGACAGCTGTGGGACAACTGGAATTCACGGAAATCTTAGCATTCATTAATTTTTCAGAAACAAGAAACGCAGCTGTCATACATTCCAAACACTGAAACAAAAATATATAATTAAATTAATTGTAGACTCCGAACTTTCACAAAACAAACCCTTTGTCTGTATCTCTAAAATAAAGCAGAGTTCATTGCAAAAATCCTTCAAAACGGGTATTAAATAAACGAACTAACTCAAAATGCTTGTCATCTGGGAGCCAAGTCAAACTGTCAAACTATCAAACGGGAGCCAAACATTCAAAAGAGCTCAGAAGTCACGTAGGTAGTTACTGTTTGAACCACAAGTAAAGGTGTTGCCACCTACTGAAAACAAATTAAGAATTATAATTATGAAACTGTCGAAACATCAACCTTAGTAGGCGGATAATGTAAATCATCGAGCGTGATGCTCGAAAAAGTGTTTTTATTTGATATTAATAAAGCCAAAACTGTGTTGCTGAAACAAGAATGTAATCAAACTTTATAAAAGTCATGTGAGCTTTGTGGGCAGGTGCACTCCCATCACCATGTATACGTTATTTCTGGAGCAGAGGAGGAGGAGCCAAGAGTTGATTTGACAGCATGTATATACAATTTCGTGAGCTGTTTCAGCAAAACAATTTGAAACTTCGGAAGATTTTCAAGATGTTTTCTCTCACTTGAAAAATAAAATCGGCTGAGTTCGCAGTACTCAGTCCCCCTTATTCTGCGAGTCACGTGACTCTCTCTCACCGGTGAGGTGACAATTGTCACCTCGTGTGAGGTGACTCTCCATGTAAATCAAATGGAGAGTCACCTCACACGAGGTGACTATTGTCACCTCACCGGTGAGAGAGAGTCACGTGACTCACAGAATAGGGGGGAGTTTCAACTAAGAGGCAGGCATATCAAAAAGATTTTAGCATGCAAATATGTTAGAGAAAAAATCGTTTTGATGAATAATCAAGATTGCGAAAATTGCCTGGGGTCATAATGACCCCTAGATACAGACAAAGGGTTAGGATCTAGTCTAAATAAATTCTTCTGAGACACGTTCTGGCATATTTGACTCTACTTTGTAATCACCGGATCAATTATGTCTCATTTCCTGACCTTTTTGTGAGGTTCTCCGGATATCAATGGACCCTGTTTGTCCCGAATATCAAGAATTTAACCATGAAATAATTTTGGAGGTTTGAGAGTAACAAATATCGTTTATTGCTCGTTTAAGGACAATATGTGTTGAGTATAGCTGGATCACTCAAGGGTCGCTATAAAAACTTATCCGATTTAACTAATTTAACTAGATTGCAGGCTAGAATGCATGATGAACTTTTGGTATATTTATTGCTGAGTTTAACGGCGACTGGATTGACAGCTCGATTACAAGGGGCAAGACAGCTTTTGATCATGAGTAAAATCGGAGTTAATGTTGAGTAACTCTGAGCCGCTCTGAGTAACTCGCGTTAATAAAAATTGAATACACATCACGCTAACTTGAAAGTACTCATTAATGAGTAAAAAAAGACCCATTTTGAAGAAAAGTGGCTTAACTCATTAATGATTAAACAATTTTACCCATTAATGAGTATCTGTTACCCATTAATGATTAACAATTACTCATTAATGGGTAGCAGATACTCATTAATGGGTAAAAAATTTACTCATTTAATGAGTTAAGCCACTTTTCTTCAAAATGGGTCTTTTTCAATCATTAATGGGTACTTTCAAGTTAGCGTGATAGCAACCTGATTTTTGTTTTGCAGTATGTCATCATCGGTGGGCTGAAACCGATTGACATATTTTTCTGCAATAATTTCGTACGCAACTGAAAACTGGTACTGAAGTTTTTGCGGATGAGATACTAGTGATGCTGGACTTGCTGAATTGTATTATTCTGTCCGGTGTTACAGAATGCACGTATTTTAACGATGATTGAAGACGACCACCAGGCTTGAGTTAACGGAGACCATCACCGTTCTGATGGATATATTTGCAGAAAAAATTGGAGCTGTTTTAAGATAGCGGCTTGTGGCGCCGTTTGTTTCTCCTTCTCTCAGTATTTAGCCCCCCTTATTCTGCGAGTCACGTGACTCTCTCTCACCGGTGAGGTGACAATTGTCACCTCGTGTGAGGTGACTCTCCATGCAAATCAAATGGAGAGTCACCTCACACGAGGTGACTATTGTCACCTCACCGGTGAGAGAGAGTCACGTGACTCGCAGAATAGGGGGGAGCATTTTGCTGAATTTCCATGAGTAGCATTATGGCATGCACCAACAAGGCTGTCTTGCAATTGAAAATGAAATTGCCTGAAACTATTGTTCAAACTATCAGAGACAGTTTAACACTGAGCTCTCTTGGAATTCTCCGGAATTCCTTTTGGAATTCACTGCCTTTAAGCTTAAGAGCGGATAGTGTCCTTGCCAACATCGTCAGCTCATAAACTGCTATTCATCACATCATTTTTCATTTGGCTTCCTCCCTTTGACAACTTTGAGAAGTAGCATCCACAAGTACTACGAACATCGGCACGAAGCTGATATGCAGGTGGAACAGAAACGTCATGATGTCATTAAGAAGGGCTAAGATTGTCCCCAACGGATCATTTTAGATGGCCGAGTTTTGAACCCACCACAGCTTGCATTTGGCGCTACTGTATACGGACGATCCAATGTAAAATACTGTGGTAGCCACAGTACGGTGCTGTCAAAACTTCAGCATCTTCAATGATCCACTACCACCAATCGAAAATCTCCGGGTATAATCTGAGCAAGGCCTTGGTACAATAAATCTATGAGCTACCTTCCTCAACACAAATAGAAGTCTTATTAAGACTGCTTAAGATGGAAACATCCCCGAGGAGAATCAAAACTCTCTGTCGGAGCGATCACTTCATGTTCCAGGTGTTCAAAAGGCTACTATTGATGAGATGTTTGTCACTATCAAACTACTGCCAACCAACAATCCGTTCTTAGAGATTTCCAGGTTAAAGGAGCGCTGCAAGTCACACCTTCTATGGCTTATGGGATATCGTCTGAGTGGAATCGCGTCCGCCTATGTAGCTCAATCTAACAAAGTACAGGAAATCAAGAAAGAATTTCTACAATTTTGTTAATTGGAGTATTTTATAAAATTAAAAACACAATTAGGTTAATAATTTTTTGAACGTTAGTATTTGTTTATATAGTACAACAATGCAAACCATATTTAAAGCTATTTCACTTTCAGCGAAAAAATGAGTCCTGCCGCAAATCCTTTTAGGTCTAAATATTGTACGTATTCTACCATTTCTAGCACAAAATTACACTTCCTTCCAATCTCCTTTCGACGACTTCTCGCCAACATATTCTTGATGGCGTCCCCGGTCTTGTTCTTCCGATGGTCGCGACTAGTTTTGGAACACCACTGATCATTTTTACGATCAAATAACATTCCTTCCCAATGGATCATTTTAGATGGCTGAGTTTTGAACCCACCACAGCTTTCATTTGGCGCTACTGTATACGGACGAACCAATGTAAAATACTGTGGTAGCCACAGTACGGTGCTGTCAAAACCTCAGCATCTTCAATGATCCATTATTACTTTCTATATATAAGGAACTTTCTCGTCGCATACGTCTTCCTGTCGTATCAATGGTGGTGACCAGCCCTTTGATATAAGATTTCAGTAGATATCGTATGGTTTATACGCTCTGGTTGTGCATCCAGACAGAAACTAATACACCAGCTGAGGTTCACGAGTCGAAGGTAGATTACTCCGTCATCGCCTATAAAAAATGCTTTAGCTACGATAAATCCTGTGTTTTCATAAGAATCAAATCCCTGTTTACGATATCTTGACGACTAATGCGGATTGATGGCACATAGTACCGATCAATTTGTTATCAGATATGAGCCGTCCTGCACGTAATCTCATACAATTTTATCGGTTACTAAATTTAACAAATGCATGATTTCAACTCAAATAAATAAAATCTCGAGTAGGTAGATGCGGTTCGCACGACAAGGTACCCGTAGCATCGGACTAACAAAAACACGAGACGCGCGAATACAAATCAAAATGACCCGTGTGTTGAAGCCTTCATCTTCAATATATCTAGCCGCTTCATTTCATTCGCTGACAACGTAGACATTGTCGGACGAACGTTTTAGGTCAGGGCTGTCATCTGTCGGACAATGTACTAGTTTTCTGAAATAAACAAAGTGATAATCAAGCAAACACAAAGTTTGCTTGTCTTTTACCCTGTGCAAGTGCAAGGCAGCGGAGAAGAGAAGACAGACACACACCCAGAAATAACGAAAACTCAATGTGTAGCCATCGCTTCGACGGCTCCAACGCAAAGAGCACCACTGAGTGTATGCTTGCAAATGGGAAAGCCAGCAAAAAGACAAAATACTTCTTCGTTATGCTCTTCTTCATCTCCTATGCATGCAGTCGTGGTAAGCAAAATCTGCAGGTTTTGACAGCACCGTACTGTGGCTACCACAGTATTTTACATTGGTTCGTCCGTATACAGTAGCGCCAAATGAAAGCTGTGGTGGGTTCAAAACTCAGCCATCTAAAATGATCCATTCAAAGAAGACATTAGCGCTTGTTGTATATTCGCTCCCTGCGCCGCACGGAGTGTACCGCTTATTGTGTGGATCGCTTTCTCACAGATTAGTTGGAAAAGAGTGTGCGAAGTAAATGGGAGAACCACACACTCTTTGACGAGTGTTGTGAGATGCATACACAAAGTTGCTTTGCTAACACTCTGAGGTGCTTTCCAACCCTGTTTTAGGTAATGGCAGAGCAATACACCAGACTGATATGTGAAGCAGCAAACCATATAAAAAAAAATCCATACCCGAAAGATAGCTCTAATTGTAGAACAAGTCCAAAAATGGTTTGGATGATACCCAAAACACGTCGTTAAGCAAAATAACCATATAAATTTTATTAGGGAAGATATGATCTATGTTCACCTTTTTCCCTTCCCTTCTCTAAGGAATAGAATCCATGAGGTTCTGACAATTTATTTGGGAGCATCCGGATCATGTCTATTGATGGTCCAATGTGCTCCACGACACTCAATATGACTTCGAATGATCTGCTGAAAGCCCAGGCCTTTTCCCTGGGGATATCCGAATTATTTTCAGTTATGGTAAATGCGGTAAACGACTTCCTATGTTACTTTTAGTGATCTGCTTTTTGAAAACCTGGGTCATTTGATGTGCCGGATGGGGGATTATGGTTCAGATTAGGTTCTGGTCTCTTTCCTGGGCTCATCTGCAACAGGTCCAGTATTCGCCATTAGGGTCCACGACACTCAATATAGCTTCCAATGATTTGCGTTTTGAAAACGTGATGTGTCACATGACGCATTGGGTGCTAAAATCTATTTTGTCCTTCTTCAAGCTTGAGCGAGAACACCTGTGATTTGAAGGAGACTCATCTAGTAAGTACAAATTGCATCCACTTTGGCTGCGATTTCGCTGAGCTACAAGAAAATGAAATTTTGCAATTTCAGGTAGGGCACGTGGTGCCAAATAAAAAAGCGTTCATATTGCTACAATGTGGAGTTTCACTTTCATGTTACTCGAACTCTGATTTGACTCGGGACTGATGACAGGCTTCATTAAAGTTGCGATGTATTCTAAATCGAGCTGAATTTTTTAATTGAGGGGGTGAAAGGAAAGGGGTGTATGTGACTTTGATCGATTCTCTTCATCGACTCACTCTTTCCTTAATAATTCAGCTGCAAACACATTCCTTGATGCGTGTGCCATTCTGGATGCTAGATGAGATCCTCCTTTATCAAACTATGTGGCAGATATAGCGCAAAATCTGTTCATAAAGCTGTGGCTATCAAAAGAGACAGTCGATGAAAAGAATCGATCAAAGTCACTTCCATCAAATCCCCTCAGTTGAGTTCCTTGAGGACTAAGGTGCGATTAAATTAAAAACATTCCAAGAAAGATGCGATAAATGGAACGTAAGCTCTGCCGTTCAGTTGGTAATGTGGATCAATCAATCAATCAATAACACTAGGTCCGTTTTTATCCTTATGCAAACTTCTCAGGCCCTCTCTGCTTTATTTCCAAAGTTTATTTAAAAACCTCATCTCGACCCATGACAAAATAAAAAGAAGAAAATCACATCCAATGTTACTGAATCGAATAAACAAATAAATAATTGCAAAAGCAGCATCAGAAAAAAAAGAAGTTACGCAAAGCGGAAACGATAAACAAAATAAAACTAATGACTCTATCAATGACACATCCAACTAATCCCAATTGATCAAAGAAACAAGAAAACGAATTGAGTAAAACAATGAAATTTAGGCAAGCGAAGAAACGCAAAAATGGAGGAAAACGAAAGAAAAGCTACTAAATCGAGCAGACGAAAAATACTGTGAAGAGAAATAAAACCATTTACAATTATATGTGTAAATAATGTTAAGTACATATTTAAGCTCGCAAGTATTCGAATGGCTATCATGTGTGTGAGGCCAAGTGGGAGCAATTAGGTACAGCTCTGGGATAACAGATGCAGATAAGGCTGGTTAAAAATCACGCCAAGTAAATGATGAATGAGCAGCAGAGTGCAGGCACGAGCAATGAGAGAAAATACACATACACACACACACCCCACATACATACACAAACTTAATAGGTCAAAGTTGATCGGAACTGGAACAAAACAACAGCGTAGCATGTTGAAAATTGAATGAAAAGCATAGCAAAAAAGAAATCAGAAAATTATCACATTTATAAATATTTAAAAACTACAAAAGAAACTACAAAATTACAACCTAAAGCATTAATACAGAAAAAAAGAAGAACACAAATAATGCAGAATGCACTCGTAACGCAGATGTGAAGCAAACGAAAAAAAAAGAGAAGAGAAATGAGTCATTGAGGTTAAAAAATAAACATAAAATGAAAGAAATCCATAACAGTATATAGATAAACACAAGATCGTGATAGCGTAGAACATGCTGAACGGCGAAAGAAGATTAGCTAACTGTACACAGTTATAATGCAAAAACAAACTTTTTCCTTTGATCTAAAAATAAAAATTATAAATAATTAAAACTCCACTTGTGTTTGATTTTTTCCGTCGCTTTATTTGCTTTCAGATCAACATTTCCTGTGCCAGTTCCCGGAAGACGAAACAATTGAAAAAGCTGGCACTATCGTAGGGATCCACTTGACGCACCGGTTGGGTTGCTTTAGCATGTTTTCTTCGGACGGCTCGCTGGCGACAGAGTTTGCCGTTTTCTAGGGGGCTAGGTTCTTCGGGGGATTTGACTTCTCGCTCGTTGAACAACCGGTTGGAGTTGAGGATGTGCTGAAGCAGTTGTGCATCCTCGGTGTCATCACGGGGAATGGGATCTAGCAGTTGTGGTCGAGGGCTAGCTGGTGTGACAATCTCCGAGAGGTTGGTTGGGCAAGTGGCAGATAGTCGCTTGATGAGAGTTTTGTTGCGTTCTCGACGTGTTCGCAGCTTCTTTGCTCGTCCCGGTATTGGGTTCCGCGAGGTTAGTGGAGTTGTATTATCTTGTCTTGCTGTCAAATTGGGCCTGTGGTTGTCTGGGGAAGTGCATTGATTTTTTGATTCGGAAAGACGTTGATATTTTCTGAGACCGCAGTTATTCTCAAAATTGTGGCAGGTGTATGAGTTGTTGTTCTCCATTTCTGTGGCTTCTTCAGCAAGGTTTTCTTTATTACAGCCGCACTCATTTTGCGGGCAGGAGGAGGGGACGCGAGAAACGGTTCCGGTTGGACCACGTGTTATGACCCACTTCAGCATTGTTCCTGTAATGAAAGAGAAAGATATAAGTCTTTTTGTGCCAGTAAACATCCGCATCGCTCCCTGAAACAAAATTTAGTGGCCAATAAGCGAGCACGATTACTATACGAACGAGTTTTTACGTAATTTGATGGCTGTATTTTAATGGATGACGAAACATATGTCAAAATGGATTATAAACAAATCCCCGGACGAAAATTTTACCTGGCAACTGGTCGTGGGGATGTCCCTTCCAGGTATAAATTTGTTTTTGCTGATAAGTTTGCTCGGAAACTAATTATTTGACCGAGGGGGGCGACACATCTAAATCTCAATTCAAGATGCTCTACAAATCTCACACTAGCGAATCAAACTTCGAAAAATCTTCTTTGATTTCTTGTATCTACTTGCATCGCGCATCATCTTTTTGCAGGAAATCTTCAAAATCGTCATCAATCTTCTTCATATCTACTCAGCGTGCACGCAGCTAACCACAGCAAAACACAATTTTTCCTGCATCGTAGATAGAGTCGCCCCACTCGGATTTGGCAAGGAATCTCCAGTTCTGGCCTTAAAACCAAGGTTTTCATCACATCTCACACAATGACGTCGAAGGTTTCACATTAAAGAGTGGCTGAAAAAGCGGATTTTACACTTCATTCGGCAACAGAATACCAACGTTATGTTTTGGCCGGATCTAGCCAGCTGCCACTACTCTAAGAAGGTACTAGAATGGCATGCTTTTTTTTTTCTTTTTCCTTTGGTTTGTTTTTTTCCGTCGATCTTGTTTTCCGTGCTGAGCACCAATGCTACCGACGTGCCAGGAAGGCAGCTCTCCCACACCTGGACCCTACCTATCGACCCATCAACTCATGAACCGGGGGACCAACGGCTTTACTTCCCATCCGAAGGAAGGCGTGATCAGAGATGTTATGCCTCAGAACATCCCGGCGGCGCCGACTGGGTTTGAACCCAGGCCTGCTGGGGTGAGAGGTAATCACGCTTACCACTACACCACCGGCGCCGTTAGAATGGTATACTGCAAACAATGTTAATTTCGCCGCCAACGAGATTAATCCTCCGAATTGCCCTGAGTTCAGACCGATCGGAACATATTGGGCAATTGTCAAGCGAAAACTTCGAGGATGCGGTAAAGAAGTGACAAATGCACAACAAATGCGTTTAAATTGGAATAAGTCGCCGGTACTGTGTCACCAGCGACTGTGTAGATCATGATAGCATCGATCACAAGTAAAGTGCGACACTTCGTTCGAAACGGTGAAATGTAATAACTTGTTATATATCGTTTGAAAACTGAATAAATATTCTTTTGTTTGACGTTTTGATCAACCGTGTATGTCGTTTAATTCTTGAGTTATGATCACTTGAATGCGTCCAAATTTACTTTGAATCGGGCTTTCATCATACAAAATTCAGTGGATAGTTTCAAGCCCTATTTACATAATTAATACAAATTTAATTTTAAAAGTAAACTTTTGAATCTTATGAAAGAAGATTTAAAAAAGTAGAAGGGTCTGTGCCTAAGGGCACTAACGGAAGCTTGACGTAGGACCGCTAGAGGACGGAAAAAATGTCGTTCAAAATCACTTGCACCCCTGCTTGCAAGTTTGGTTAAAAGATTACAACTCTGGAGAGCATTTTGTGTGGTCGTTGGGGGCGTGTGGTTCTGAATATGGACAAACACGCACAGATAAATTGTATTCCAACTCTTTACTGTAATAAGCTTGTTGGCCCTGAAAAGGGCCGTTTTGTTGCCAAAGCTGGTGATGATTTAACCTCCGAAACCGTACAGAGTGCGTCCAACCGGTGGAAACTAACGGTTTTTAATTGGCTCACTACTTGACTAGCCTATTCGTCCCAAGCAAATCGATTAACGTACCCCATTCTAGTCGCAATTCTAGTACTACACAATGTTTGTTTTGATTAGCTATAAAAGTTTGACAGATAAAATGAGGGGTTCGTGGATTTTTCTATGTTTCGAGGGGTGCATCGATTAGCTTGGGACCGAAAATAGTACCAGAGCTGAGCCAAAAAGTTGAGCACGTTTCTTCGGGACCTTCTGGTCTTAGAGTAACCTCTATGGTGCGTCTCTGTCGTTTCAAAGCGTAGACACCCCTCACCATCTCTCTCCAAAGGGGGAGTTTGGTTAAGAGAGATGATAAAACTGATGTGTACCTTCCTAAAAGTTGTCTAGCTCGCTTTCTACTCTCTGTAGGGTTAACTACCCCATTTCCGGCCTATTAAGCACAACCCGCACTTAGTCTTTCTTAATCTAGCGCAGTTTAGCATCAAACGGAATGTTATTATTACTGATGGCTTCCAAATTTATTTACCTCTCCGTATGTACCGTAATATTTGATAAAGAGAAACCAATCGTTGAGATATTGTCAAAAGTCTAACACTGCTTCTTGACGCCAAACTCGGCCTACGGATTCTAAACTCGGCCTAATGCATTGAAACGCCATTGAAACGCCAATGAAATCACTTCGGCCTATCGGATGAAGATAAAAATTGATTCGGTCGGAGCGCTTCTTTTGTTTTTGGGAATAATGGGTGCAAACCTTCATATCACACGTTCTCATTGACTTCGTTCCGTAGTTTATTAACAAAAGTATCGTACCAAACGCATAAATGTCTTGTTAACTCTGAAATCATGGATTTATTTGAAGTTTTCTGCTCGATAGGCCCAAAATGGGCGATTAGGCCGAAGTAGTGCTCTACCCTATATAATTTTCACACTGCCGTACTCTAAACGGAACTATCAATTCTATACTTTCATCTCCTCACTCTATCGTATAAAAAACACTTCCGACATTCCTGCCTTGGGCAACGGCTGCGTGTTTTTCCTGTTCGCAGATGATACCGCCATAACCGCCAAGGGAAGGATGCCTCGTGAAATAACAAACAAGCTTCAACGATGCTTTGATGCCTTTGCTGACTATGCCAACACGTGGAAAATCAAAATCAATGCTTCCAAAACCCAATCAATAATGTTCCTCTATCGGCAATCTCCCAAACTAAAACCGGCTTCCTCTTGTACTGTAATAATGGATGGCACAAGGGTTGACTGGTCCACCGAAGTAACATTTATTGGTATGTTATTTGACGAGAAGCTCTTTTTCCGCTCGCACATAGATAGGGCAGTAGTTAAGTGTTCCAATCTAGTTAGGTGCTTGTATCCGCTAATTTGCCGCAGATCTCGTCTCTCTAGAGTGCTGACTGTCTACAAACAAATCACTGCACCTGCGATCTTCTACGCAGCTCCGGTGTGGGAATCATGTGCACAAACTCACAGGAACAAAATACAGGAAGCGCAGAACAGGGTATTGAGGATGATCCTAGATTGTTCTTTCGATACCCGCATTTCCGACCTCCATCAAGAGGCTAACATTCCGAAAGTAGATTTACAAATTAACGAAACTAGGAACTGTAATGATCGGTCAAATGTCTAAACCCTTTGAGAGATTTTGCGGTAATAACGGAAAGAGAGAAAACGATAAGTGATGTTCAGGAGAATGTATAAATGAAATAAACACTGTGCTGAACCAAAAAAGAAAATCATGTCATCAAAAACCAAGCTCAAGTCGGATCTCAATTACCGGTATTGCGAGGAAGCATTTGCGCAGAAACCGTTTGTCGTCGGAGTTGGACATCATCAGGTACTTTTGATTCAAGCATGAAATCCAACAACTTTCAATCGGACAAACCATTCAAGTTGTGGCTACCGAAGCTGTGGAAATTTGGAATCAAGCTGGACTTTCCCACCAGCTCAAGCGTTGTTAGGAGGGTTGCCAAGTTTGTTGTGACATGGCAACGCCAAAGTAAGGCCTTCAAGAAGAAAAATCAGAGCTATTGCCAGCTTTGAAGATGTGTAGGATGCGGTTGAGTTACTTCTTCAACATAAGCGTGAACCACATCGATGAAGAGTTACGAAACGATACTGTCCGTGCAGAATTCTGGAGCCAGCAGGTGACAAACAAAGTTCCGATTGAGTTTCCGAAAAGCTTCTCAAGCAGTGTACCATTGATATGCAAGCAGCTTCGGTAGCCACAACTTGAATGCTTTTTCCGATTGAAAGTTGTTGGGTTTCATGCTTGCATCGAAAGTACCTGATGACGGCCAATTCCGACGGCAAACGGTTTCTGGGCAAATGCTTCCCCGCAATACCGGTGATGAGATCCGACTTGAGCTTGGTTTTTGGTGACATGATTTTCTTTTTTGGTTCTGCTTGCTACGGCAATCAAATGGAAACTAATAAATTGTGTGATCCCTCTCCGCTC